CTGGAGCTTGGGTTGAGTACCTGAAACAGCAAGAAGGTAGTGATATAGATGAGTACGGGATCTGCCACTAGGGAACCACTGCCATGTAAAGTGTTCTAACTTGCATGTAGCCAATAATACATTTAAGCATGAGATTCACATGTTCAAAATTATGTTTTATCACTTTCACTCAGTCTGGAGAGAGGGATACTATTTAGTCTTTGGGAGTGTTAGTTATCTTAAATGTGCAGAGCTTTTGCTAGCCTCTATGTAAGTCCCAGTCTGTTGCAGTAAATGCCCATTACCGCTTGGCTAATACTTGGACTTTTGATTTCCTTTTTACTGTTGCCTTCCATCCTAGTTAAACTCCTTCCTTTATTTGGACTGTTCTCCTAGTTTTCAGTTTGCCTCTTCTTTCTTCTTGAAAAATTTCTTTTGAGTAGCATATCTGAGTAGAGCACATCAATTCTTCCACTCTGCAGCTGTCATTTCTCTGATTGAGCTAATATTCCACTCCTAATAAAATCTTTCTAGTTGGGCGTGATGGTGCATGTCTGTAATCCCAGCCACTTGGAAGGCAGAGAAAGGAAGATTGCAAATTTGAGTCCAGCCTGAATGTCTTGGCAAGACCCTATCTCAAAATAAAATAATAAAAGACCTAGAGATGTAGTAGCATAGTGTGAAAAGGATGGCCTAGCATGTGCCTGACCCTGGGTCCAAACCCCAATACTGCAAAACAAAAGCAAAAAAGTGAAATAAAAAGCCTTTCAGAATTAGGAAATAGGTGGTCCAAAACAACATGGCTTGTGTGGATTCACGACATGTATTTCAAGTCACATATGAGGTTTCAACCATAGGAGACTGAAGAATATCACAAATATGAAGAGGCCTGGAGTATAATACAGAATTTAGGGGTAATTTGTGCATGAAAAGCCACTAGACCAATTAGATTTTAAGAATTTCAGACTGATTGTGAATACTCAGATTGGGTGTAAAGACTAAATTGAAAGGTGAGGATTTTGAACAAAAATTTGAACAGAAAAAAACCACTCTCATTATAAGAGCCTACTTGAGGGAACAGGAGGGTGGCAATATGGGAAAGAACAGAAAATGTATATATAGGGGATTTAGCTCAGCGACACAGCGCCTGCCTGGCAAGCACGAGGTCATGAGTTCAATTCCTGGTACCGGAAAAAAGAAAATGTACATAAAATCATACCTGAGGTATGAGCTGAAAGTTTGGTAGTGGGCAGACAGAGGGGTAAGAAGGAATGATTTTAAAAATATTGTTTCATAATAGATAGAAGGATTATTTCATAGTAGATAGAAATATTTTTTGAGTAACAACCTTATCCTGTATTTCCAGCTCTTCTACTTTTTGCTTGTGAGAAATTCCCCATACTATGTACTCCATTACCTGTAATGTGGGAAAAGTAATACCTGCCTTTGTATGCCGGTACTGAGAGTTGGAGCAGGGAGTGGGGTGGCAGTTAAAAGGCAAGAGTTAGGTTTTATAATGTCTGGAAAGGATCTAGTACAAAATTGAAAGGTGAAAAAGTTCTGTCATGTGATAAATTCCCAGTGCATGATGATGATGGTTGTAGCTTATACAAGCTTGGAGCCAGCAAGGGCAAGGAACAGGAACAGAGATGATGAAAATCAAGTAGGAAAACTGGGTGAGGGTTCAGCAAGGAGAGAATATTGATCCCTGTTACTCTCATTCCTGTACCCCACACAGTGGAGTATAGGCAGAGATGCATGTAATGCCTGAAGCAGTCAACTCCTACCAGTGTACTCAAAGGTTCAAGATAAAATACAGGTCTTCAAAATCAAGCTGAGAGTAACCCCTGGTCAACAGTGAATAGAAAAACTGGGACTTTGGTCTTACAGCTTTAAGGACCTGAATTTTGAAAACAACATGAATGAGGTTGAAAACAGCATGAATGAAGTAGAAAACAATTATTCCACAGAACTTCCACTTAAGGATATGGGGATGTCAACACCTTTCTTCTGAATCCAGCTGAGTTTTACTCAGAATTCTTGCTCACAGATAATGTGAGATAATAATAAAAGGCTTTCTGCTGAGAGTTGGAGCAGGGAGTGGGGTGGCAGTTAAAAGGCAAAGATCTTGGGAGAAGCAGAGAGAGAATTGAGGAAAAAGCTATTGTAGGGTAGCCAGCAATGGTCTGAGGACTATTTCAGCTCTAAACACCCTAGTCTGAACCCAAGAACCAGTTAGCCTTGCTAATGGTTGAAATTTTTATACTAATTTATTTCATTTTAAACGCATACACACACTATCACTATATGATAGTATAACCTATTTCCTGTTGTGATTTTTCTCCCCACAGGGCTCAGCTATCCAGATATAGATAGGAAAGCCCTATTGCTTTCTTTGATGACCACTGCTTCAGAAGTAGTATGCTGTTCCTTTGACGAGCTACCTAGGCATGTATTCTTGTAGCTGTAACGGCTTACTTACTTGTTTATCTCTCTCTCAAGATATCGAACAAGAAAATCTTACTTTTTCATCTTTATATTTTCAATAGTCATTTTGTAGCCAGTACTCAAATAACTACTCAATAGATTTTTATCCTAACCACTGATAATACTATAAACTTTCTGTATTCAAAATTTGCTGAAGTGTTTGGTGTTAGTGTATAACCCTTTTTCATTTACAAATGAAGTAAATTCAGGTTTGCTTCATTTAAGAAGTTAGTGATAAGTCATGGGCTAGAATTCAGGCACTGCAATTATTTGTTACAGTCATATGTACTTTCCTTAATGTTTAATATACACTTTAAAAATTTAGGTGACTTTTCTCCTTGAGCTTCTTATGTCACTCATGTTTTCTGTGATTTGTTTAAAGATCAGACATGACTGAATGTGCATTCACTGATAAAATTTCCTTTACAACCACTTTTATAATTGTTTAGTTTTAGGCTGTTTCCTCACTGGCAAAAAATTTCTCTCTGAAAGAATTGTTAAAATTAATTAATGGATAATTCCTAGTGGAGAAACAAGTCAAATTTGAATTCTAATTCACAATGGTCATTTTTTTTTTTTCTGATTCGTGTATTCAAGCATTTCATTAGTGATCTGAAAGGTTTAGGTCAGAAAATACATATAAATAAAGAATGATTCCTGAACTTTTAAGAAATTCTGGATCTTTTTCTTCTTTTCCTTCTCTACATTTTGTCTTTTCTTTCTCAGGACATCTTCACTGGTTTCCTTGAAAAATATTTCCTTTTCTTAATTTCATGCTATTTATAATCTCAAGTGAACTTGCACCTATACCTAAGTTTCAAGTCCTTCCCCAGATCATGACCCTGCTAAATTGTTGTACCAGAGTCCCCTCACTTTGAAGACAGCATCGTGAGTGCAATTTGTCTTCAAGCAATGTCTTCTATAAATCTTTGAGTCAGTGAGTAGATAGAATTAATCAAGTGACATGGTATAAAATTTGAACTAGTTTTTGAAGACATAAATGAATTACACACACACACACACACACACACACACACACACACACTAGTTCCCTCCTACCCATGATTTTGCTTTTCATATTTGCAGTTATCTGTGGACAAATATAATTCATTACAACTCAAAAGTACTAAATGGAAAATGCCAGAAATAAACACTTTCTATGTATTAAGTTGTGTGCCTCTCCTAGTAGCATGATAAAATCTTGCACTGTCCTGTTCTGTACTGTTTGGGACATGAACCATCCCTTTGTCTAGAAATCCACACTGTGTATGCTTCCCCTTCTTTAATCCCTTGATAGCAAATTCACTTTACCAGGTAGATGTTAAAGTGCTAACATTCAAGTCGCCCTTATACTACCTAATGACCACCAAGTGCAATGTTAGTGATGCCGGCTACTAGACATGCCAGAGAGGCCATGAAGGGCTTTTCTGAAGTGAAAACGTGAAAGTTCTTTGGTAACAAAGAAAGAAAAAATGACAAAGTTGCTAAGATTTATAGTACAACAGGAAATTTGAGAGAAAAAATTATGTTTATATAACTTTTCTTTCAGTATACCTTATAATTGTTTTTATTATCAGCTATAGTTCTTAATGTCTTACCGTGCTTTATATTTTAAATTTAATCATACATACATATATATGGAATAAAACATAATATATATAGGGTTTGGTACTACCCATAGCTTCAGATATTGGTAGGAGGTCTCAGAATGTATCCCCTGTGGATTAAGGAAGACATTATTACAATGCTTTACATATAAATATATGTATATACCCTTATATATGTATTTTTTATTACTATAACTATATACTTTATATATATAGTATTGCATAATATACTATTTATATTAAATATAATTATATATAATTATATGTGCTTTTATTATTTGTATCAATAGGGGCCACCTAAAGATTCAAAATGTATTAATTATTCTAAAAATGTAAATCTTTCTTCATTATGCCCTTTTAAAGTCATGGCCCTAAATATAGGTAATCATTATCAGTCTGCAAAAGATGTTCCACATAGCCGGAGTAGACCAGAGTCAACTAATTCTTGTGACCAGGAGAGTTTTTTCTACTTGATATGCTGCTGTTTTTCCCCCCAGGTCTTGAATTCCCATGGTTCTTTGCCTTCCTTCTGCACTATCCTTGGAGCTTATTCCAGCCACCATGGCAGCCTTATAGCTGCCTCTGAAATCTGGGTTATTCATAAAGAAACTGCTTTCTCCTGGTACCAGCTGAAGACCTCTTTCTGACCCATACCTCAAGGCCTAAGCCCTGAAGTTGACATCACGGTTCTGTTTTGACATGCTTGGCTTTGTGCTATGGATTTCAGGTTCTGGTTTGAACCCTAATTTTCTAGCGAGACTCGCTGGCCTGTCATAATTTCCAAATCATATCCTGGAGCTAGATGATGGCCCTAATGTTTAATAACAAAATACTTGTAGCTTGAGGCCCCTTTGTCTCTCATGCAGATCTCATTCTTCAGTGTGATGTTAATATCCATTCAACCCTTTGTCTTTCGGTGGTCTGACCATGTGGAAGGAAAACATCACCAATGTTAGAGAGTTCATCTTGGTGGGTTTCCCTACTGCCCCTTGGCTGCAAACTCTGCTCTTCTTCCTTTTCCTCATCACTTACCTGTTCGTGCTGTTGGAGAATTTGGTCATCATTCTTACTGTATGGCTCACGAGGTCTCTGCACAAGCCCATGTACTATTTTCTGAGTACCATGTCCTTTCTGGAAGCCTGGTATATATCTACCACAGTCCCCAAGATGCTGGCTGGATTCGTACTTCACCCCAATACCATCTCCTTCCTGGGGTGTATGACCCAGCTCTATTTCTTCATCTCACTTGCTTGTACTGAATGTGTGCTTTTGGCTGCCATGGCCTATGACCGTTATGTAGCCATATGTTGGCCCCTTCGCTATCCAGTCATGATGACCACAGGGTTTTGTGTTCAGCTGACCGTTAGTTCCTGGGTGAGTGGCTTCTCCATCTCCATGGGAAAAGTGTACTTTATCTCCAGAGTTGGCTTCTGTGGCAATAATATCTTAAATCACTTTTTTTGTGATGTGTCACCCATCCTTAAACTGGCCTGCATGGATTTATCCATGGCAGAGAGAGTCGACTTTGTGCTGGCCATTGTTATCCTTGTGTTTCCTCTCTCAGCCACTGTCCTGTCCTATGCCTTCATTGTCTCTACCATCCTGCACATACCCTCAGCCTCAGGGCAGCGCAAAGCCTTCTCCACCTGTGCATCCCACCTCTTGGTTGTTATCATCTTCTACACAGCGGTGATCTTCATGTATGTGCGACCTCGTGCCATTGCTTCATTTAATTCTAACAAATTGATTTCAGCTGTATATGCAGTCTTCACTCCCATGCTCAACCCGATCATTTACTGCTTGAGAAACAAGGAGGTCAAGGATGCTATCAGGAAAACCATAGCAAGAGGCCCAGCCCTTTTCTTGAGAGATTCTCTTTGTTGAAGACATACACACATTCTTTTTATTATCATTTGACTTGACCTCAAAAACACTTAATTAGATGAAAATCTGCAACTATACACATACTGACAGTACAATGACTTAGGAGTATGGAACTAGAAATAAAAGAAAATGCTTTTTTTGGTCAGACCTTAATTAAAAGCATCCTTTTCTAAAGCAGTAAATGATGATAACCATTCTGACTGGGTAAGATGGAATCTCAGAGTTGTTTTGATTTGGATCAGGAAATGTGGTAAATATGCACAATAGAATATTATTCAACCATAAAGAATAATGAAACCATGTCATTTGCAGGAAAATAAATGGAAATTGAGACCATAATGTTAAATGAAATAAACCAGACACTGAAAGTCAAATATTGCGTGGTTTCTCTTGTAGGAAACACTTAAAATATAAATACATAAATGAGTAAAATAAGAGAGATTATAGAACTCAAAAAAGCAGATTTCTTTTAGAGATGAAAATGGTAATCATGGGGAGGGGGAGATAAAAGAGAGGGGATAATAAAAATGTAATAAAATGGTCAACATAAGTTATATGCAGACACCAGTTCCTCAAAATGAGCATAACTATTATGTATTATAAAATACACTAATAAAAAGATAAGGATGTAGATGAAATAGGACTCTAAGATATTTTATATATATATATATATCTCCATAAAATAGTTATGAGATAATAATAAAATATTAAAATAATAAAATATTATTTTATTTTTTTATGAAAAATGTTAAGGAAAAATCAGTGATTAGCTAATTTGTATACTTCTGTTGGTAGGATTGTCCCTTTTTATGGAATTTTTTGTTTGTTTGTTTATTTTTTTTAGATTGTCCCTTTTTGATATGCTTTGTTTTAAAAGTCCTTTCCCTTAAGAGTGGCACACAAAGAGAGGTTTACCTTTAGGCAATATCATAGGTATGGCCTCTTCATTGCTTGTAAGGGTTTGGGACAGACTCCGGTTATAATCAGTTTGTCATGATGATATTGCACTTTAAGGATTTTTAAAATTTAGGAAATTGAAAGATAAACTTTATTCAGGCTCTTATAGAAACACTGTTACTATACTGCACTACTGCATACTGCACTACTTCTCATGGCATAGAAAAAATGAAATTTCAGATCCATACATATATATGTATGGTTTTGTGTTTTAATTCCTTTCCTTTATTGGAACTTCTACATATAATTTTGTTAATGAAATAGAGGCCAGACTGTAGGGAAACACGTGGTTGTTGATTTAAGCCCATTCTCTTTCAAGCCTGGGAAGTGTGGTCATTGACAAGAGACTTAGTGCCTTTGTTTAGAAGGGACTTGACCTGGACATGAAGAATTTTCCCAGGTTCCCTGGAAAACTTACCTTCTCATTGGTGTTTCTTTTGATTTCAAAAAGGTAAATTTAATAGTACATGATTTCACTTAGATATTGTGAAACAGCAGAAGACAGATAGGTTCTATCTGGTTTAAAGGATGAGTGAATTAATGAGCTATGAACCACTAACAGTCTAATTACAAACAATACTATTTTATGCCAATGGTCTCGAAAACACATTTTATACATTGCAATATGGGTATAGAAGCATTTTTTTTTTTTTTTGCTGTCCATAACTGTTTTATTGGGGGAGAAACTATCTTCTGGAGACTCTCAGGCCTCCAACATCAGGAAGTGAGGCCCTCAGGTTCATGATCCATTAGGAAAGGACTAAAACAATTTCCACAGCAGAGCCACCCTCTGTTCTTCAGTTGCTGTGCTGAGCTGCAGGTGGTGGTCCCATGTTCTCGGTTGAGCCCTGGCTTGTGGGTTCACAGGTAAGTTCTGCAGGCCCTACATCCTGCTCTTCAAAAGTTGTGTGCCAGGACAAGTCTGTAAGCTTTTGGGCAAAGCCACAGGGCAGATGGATGGGGTAACACTGCCAGTCAGTGTCTATTTGGGAGAGCACTGCTTGAGGTAGATCCACGTGGCACCAAGTAGATGAGGACATCACTAAGGTCCTCTTGAAGGGCTGCCTGTTCCTTCAGGGGTCATGCTTGGGGACCAGGCTGTGCATCAGATTTCTACTGAAGAGTTCTGCTAGCTTTCCCTCTTCCCCCACCCAGGCCAGGAGGAGATTCCGGGGCTGGTGGAGCTGGACCCAGTCGTGTTCAGCAGCAAATTCTGCATGGAGGCCTGGAATGGCCTCCAGCATGAGCCCCGGGCTGAACCTGAATGAGCTGGCAGCAGCAGTACCGTCTTTTCTCCTCGAGTCCTCCCGCATACCCCCACAGTCAAGGGGCATATGCTATATTTTTACTTTATTTACTCGTTGTTACATATTTTTCCCTTTTTGTGTTTCAGTTGTTATATAATGCCGAATGAGACTGCTTTCCTTTAATGTTATATAAATTAAGATACCTTTCAAACTGGCAATTTGCGATTTATATAAACCTGTTATATTCGTCTGGCTTTCATAACTATTAGCCCAAACAGTGTACATACCTAGTGATGGACACCACTTTCCTTTAGTCAATAAATAGTGTTATGGCCCATGGCCCCCACAGGGGCAGCTGTGAGCAACATATGATGCTTTGTCTTGAGCTGTATATCCTCTCTTAAAACCCCAATTCTACAATATTATTGTCAAAAGACCAATTTCTGATACAAGTATTTCTGCTTGACAATGTTTATTATTCACTAGTGGACAATTATTGTTAATTTTGAAATTCACAAAGTTATCTTTATCATGTTGCCACCACAAAAAAAGATGAGGTGATAAATATGCTACTTAGATTCATTTAATCATAATGTAAGTTATACATACAGTAAAAATATCACGTTGTATTCTAGGGTACATCTAGTACTCTATCATCTTGTACTCTACAAGATGATCCAGTCCACAAATCTGCTGTGCAATTTTGTGCCTATAGTTAACCGTAAAGTGTTAAAAACTTGCTAAGAGGACAGATCTTACTTGTTAAGAGGACAAATGTTCTAAACACACACACATACACACCAGCCAAAGGTGCACAAAGAAAGTTAGAGATGATAGATATGTTTACTACTTTATTTTGAGTGTGAGGCTCATCCACAAGTGTATAAATGTACCCTAATTCATCAGATTGTACACATTGATTGTGTACCGCTTTTGTGTGTTCATTATCTCAATAAAGTTGGGGAAGACAAATAAATACAAAATAGATAATACATTTTATATAAAGCCATTATGTCTTTTTTTAT